ATGCTCGTCATCGAACATTCCGAACAGGGCGGCGTGTAAGAGATGTCCATATCCCAATGTAATGTGGCCATTTATTCCTCTTTTCTATGGGAAGTCTGAATTGATCGTATTCAGCTGATACGAATTACAGCGAAAGATCAGCACACAGCATAATAAGTTGGAACTCTGGAGCGAACCTGGTGTCAGAGTTAGAGGTTTAATCCGTTTCATCGTCGGTATCCGTGTCGGAATTAGTAGAATCAGTGCTGGATTCGAAATCTTCATCGGACTCGGAATCATCGTCGGTTTCGGTCTCGACGTCGTCGCCCGGGCGCACATATCGATTTGCGTCTATTCCAGGCCTTTGGGCTCTACAATGCTTCATGAAGCTGGTGCAAGATATACCAGACTTTGATGACCACGAGCCGAATACATTGAGAGTGCTTAGACGGGGTAGGTACTCCTTATCAGTTATTTCTTGGACAAACGTGGGAATAAACTTTTCAGTTGCACAATTAGTCAGACCTAATACCTTCAGATGCAGACATTTGCCGAGATCTCTAGCGAGTTTGCCATTGAGCTTCACCGTTTGAAGTGCTAGGCATTCCAGTTGGGACAGGCCTTCGAACAGCCCATATAAGACACTTGCAGATGCAATTCGTATGCCCCTTTCATCCCCCAATTGGGGTGATATGTGGGCATAGATATAGGTGAGGTGTAGAAGCTTCAATTTTGGCGCCTTCAGATAGTCTTGCAACGATCCCTCAAGCCCGATACTGTCCATGCGGAGGGACGTCAAGTTGGGTAGATGATAATTCCCCTGTATATCTGAGGTTTCCGAGGTAAATTTAATACCCGCTATATACAGTTCGGTTAGATGACCAGGAATCGGAGAGGAGATCACACTGGAACTGAAACCAGCATGAACGAACTCGAGCGATTGGGCACCACCAAAATCAAATGATTCGAGCAGGCGTAATTCACCCTCTAGTACCCATTTGGTGACACGAGGAAGTGGAATTGGGGGTGGAAACTGGGGAGTATTCGCTAAGATGGTATCCCTGTCGTATGATCCTGGATCCTGGTCAGAATTGAGCTTTCCAGGAGACATAAATGTAACGCACTGAAGGAGACTTGCATACTAACGACCCGTTCCATCAGCTTGTGTTCGAGCATGGTGATGCTTGGAACATAATTTCTAATTTCAAGGTTGAGCTGACTCTGGGTTGATTTCAGTGCCAGATCCATGAATAAAAGAGCTATTTCTGGTTCAATGTTCAAAGAGAGGCACCGTAAAGGTGTCAAGTCAAGGTCATCTAGTAGAGGGCTTGAGTAGTCGGCATCTGAAGGACCACTGACAGACAAGCTTTTA